TCTCAGGCCGTATTTGAACTCGGGTCCTCCTGACTTCAGGGCCGGTGCTCTATCCACTGCGCCACCTAGCTGCCCCCAGCATGGCTTTTAAAAAAAAAAAAAAAGTCATGCCATATTAACCCTATCTCCTTTTTTGAAAGCATTATTAAACTGCTAGACCAGGAGAATGCTATAGAACTTAGCGTAGAGTTCCTGCAGCAGTTCTTGGAGAAAAGACGCTGAGAGTGTAGGGTAGACAATAGCACAGTTAGGTGGATTTGGGACTGTTTGAATGTTTGGTAACAGTCATTAGTGTTTCCACGGCAACTTGAAAGGAATGATTCAGTGGAGTGACCCTGGGCTATTTACCCCTAGGCCCTTGGAGGAAGGCACGGTGCCATCTTTATCAAATCTACAGATGACCCAAAGCTGTTGTTTGTCCTTCAGAACGTGACCTTGATACTAAAGGAGTGATCCATGATAAAAAACAAGATTAAGGGACCTCTGCTATTGAAAGAAATGCAGAGATATGAAGTATAATACATCCATGCAGCCCTACCTGAACAGAAAGATTAAAAAAGTTTAACCCATATAACCAATCAACAAGCATTTGTAAGTGTGGGCCCCTATAAAGACTTCTGTAGAACATCTAGGTAATAATGATAGCTAGCCTTTACATAGTACTATAAGGTTTTCAAAGCACTTTACAAATGTTATCTCATTTAATCTTCACTACAACCTTGCAAGGCAGATGCTATTAATATCTTCATTGTACAGATAAGTAAACTGAGGCAGACAGTGGTTAAGTGACCCAGGGCCAACCAGCTAGTAAGTGTCTGTGACAGAATTTGAACTCAGGTCTTCCTGACTCCAGGTCTAACCTCTATCAACTAGGCCACTTAGCTGCCCCAATCCTTATAAACATGACTGGCCTCTGTCAACTATCTAAGTCCTTCAAATTCCAATTATCTCAAACTATCATGTTAGGGGGGGAAAATCTGTCCAGCTACAGATTCTCTTCTGAGAGATTAGCATTTCCATCTGACTGCTAGTAGATTTATCTCCACCCTACATCTCAGCAATCTCGAGAAAATCGGATCCAGCTCACTCACCTCCATTCTAATCCTTACAGGCCAAAGTTCTCACTGTCTCTAAAACCCCAGAACACTTTGTTACTATTAATCTTGTGACGTCAAATCAAGAAAAGAAGCTTTTACTACGGGCCAGGCTCTGTGCTGAGCGATGGGGATTAAAGACTGTTACTTATATCACTGATCACACACAAAATATTCCATTTTTTATTAAAGTTACTTCTGTCACATTTCTTTTTTCCTATTCAGTTGAAGGCAAGATTCATAGAGACATGATAGGGCTGTGGGAAGAAAGAGTGCTGGAATTAGAGTCACAGGGCCTTGTGCAACAATTCAGCCACTCCCGGCTTCAGTTTCCTCATCTGTAAAATGAGTGGGTTGGAACGGATGGCAGCTCTAAATTTACAGTCCTAAATCTTAATCCATTCAAACATTTATTACGAATTTACTCCACACAAAGCAGTGTGTTAGGCTCTGGGGGAAGCAATCCAGGAAGTCTAAAGTTAAGTAGATCCTTCCCTAAGGGTATGTTTCAGAATCACAGGGGGTGAGTCAGAATAATGGAGTTAGAAGTGATTAGGCAAACGGCGTCCTCCTTGTTTTACCGAAGAGGAAATTTCGAGCTGGCCAAACTTGCCCAAGGTCATACGGCTAATTAGTCACTAAACTTACTTCAGTATTCTTAACCTAATGATCTTACGTAAAGGCTCCAGTATCTGGAGCGGATGGGAGTGGGAGGGAGGGGGAGGAGGATGGGTCATTAGGGACAAAGTTCACTGAATTCACCAACTGGCTGGGGACCGAGAGGCACCTCATTGGATAGAGCAGTAGACCTGAAGTCAGGAAGACCTGATTTCAAATCCAGGTGTGTGACAGTAGGCATGTTCACCCTAATCCACTAGAGAAGGAAATGGCAAACCACCCCAATATCTTTGCCAAGAAAAGTCAGACTGAACAATGACTCAACAACCACCACCAGAACTTAAAGGGATCAAATATATGTTCTTAAGCAACTCCTGAGAGCATATCTTTAGCTGCTCTGGCCTGTGTCTGGAATCTCTAGGAAACCAAAAAGACTGGTTTAGAATAGACTGGAAATGTAAAATGGCAGTGGCATTGTAATAATAACACCAGTTAGCATTTATGTAGTGCTTTAAGGTTTGCAAAGAGCTTTACAAATATCTTATTTGAACCCTCCATTTTACAGATGAGGAAAGTGGTGCAGAGATTTGTTAAGCGCTTATCTAGGGTCACAGAGCTAATTAGTTTCAGAGGCCAGATGAGACCTAGATCTTGACAGCAGAACCAGCAGTCATCAGTTGAGGTCCAGGTTCACAACCTAGGGACTCCTGGATTCCATACCCTAGAATACTCAGTCTCTCACCACCCATATGCAATCTGTTGCAGTTAAAGGCCTGTTGATTTTACCTTTGCACCATCTCTCAAATACACCCCCTTCTCTCCTCTGCCACTGCCACCACTCTAGTGCAGGCCCTTTTCACCTGATCCTTGGATTACTGCAATAGTTGCTGGTGGATCTGTCTGCCCCAAGTCTCTCCCCACTCCAATCCATCCTTCTTCATTCTGCCACCAGTAATTTTCCTAAAACACAGATATGATCATGTCATCCCCCTATTTAGTAAACTTCAATGGTTCCTTATCACCTCCAGGAACAAATACAAAATGCTGTTTGGCATTCAAAGCCCTTCATAACCTAATTCCCTCCTACCTTTCCAGTCTTGCATCTGACTCCCCTATGACAAGATACTCTTTGATCCAGTGACCCTGATCTGGCTGTTCCACTAACCAGACACTTCAACTGACTCGTCATTTTCTCTAACTATCTCCTATACCTGGAACATTCTCCCTCTTTCTGACTACTGACCTCCCTGGCTTTCTTTAAGTCTCCACTAAAATCCCACTTACTTTAAGCCTTCCCCAACATCTCTTAATTCCAGAGCCTCCCCTCTGTTAATTATTGCCTATTTATGGTTGGATTTCTATATCTGGTTATATATTGTCTGTACTGTTAGATTGTAAGATTTTTGAGGATAGAGGCTATCCTTGCCTTTTTTGTGTGCCAGGGTCTGGCACATAATGGGTTCTTAATTTATTATATTTGGGATACAAAAAATAAACATTAAGCACATAGGTGCCAGGAACTGTGCTAAGAGTACAAAAAAAGTAAAGAAGGTCCCTGCCCCCAAGGAGCTCACAATCTGTAGATCTACTGCACCACCTACCTGCCCCTATTAGAAATCGTTCATCTGTAGTAAAATATCAATTTTTCAAATCCTCTGGAACTTTAGGGACCTGGTAGTTTTATTTTTTTTTCCTGCTTCACTTTAAATAAAACAAAAGTTTCATTTAATAAAATATAGTAAGTATTATCATTTGGTATTAACCACACTGGTCACAGCCAGGGAGGTTTAATTAAGTCCGAATTCTACCTCAAGCACTTACTAGCTGTGTGGTCCTGGGCAAGTCCTTGAATCTTGCCAGCCTGTTTCCTCATCAGTAAAAGGTTGATAATAGCACCTAGCTTTTGGGGTTGTAGGGAGGATTAAATCAGTTAATAATGTATGTAAAGCGCTTTGCTATCCTTAAATGCTAATAAAAATATTTACTGTTATTGCCGTGGGTTGGGGGCGGCAGGGGTGGATAGGTGGGTGGGAGATAAATAGAAAATTTAGATTCTGCGTGGTTAACTGCCTTGCCCATGGTCATGGGGTAAATATTAGGGGCGGGATTTGAGCCCCAGTCCAGCTCAAATACAGCATCTCATGTCCACGGCTCGATGTATTACTGATTCCCTGGTTCCCCTCCTCGGTCCTTCACCCACGTGTCCATATATAGCAGGAGTCAATTTCACAGACTACCAAATAAGGGACCTGTTTAGCTCATGCGCACTGGCGCCGTAATCCCTCGGAAGGGAACTAAAGGGTCCCTTTTGTCGTCGAGGCAGGAGCCTTCTTGAAAACTTTAAAGTCTCTAGAAAGTTTTCCTACCCCTTTCTAGACTCTCCTGAAAGGCCCCTATAAAAAGGTATTTTAAATTCCAAAGAGGTTTGCTAGGGGGACGGCAAGAGCAAGAGTTTGAATCCCTCGCCTTCCGCTCAGGCTTCGGTGGAGACAGCTATTATTGACGATTGCTAAGGTCTGGGGCCCTTCGGTTTCTATGGCAACGATCTGGCGTCCATAGCGAAGTCCTTTGGCCCAGTAGCGGGAGGGTAAAGTGGTTGGAAGCAGGGAGCGGGGAATTCTGCTGCGACTTTAGCCGGTTTGCCACTGTTCTTGGGAGCTGGGGGCTGACTCTGCCTCTCAACATCCATCGTGGGAACCTTTCCTCCAACAGCCTGGACCCCTCCCTACCCGCTCCCAGCTCCGAGGCCCTTCCCTAGTCGAGTGGCCCGGACTTTGGGGGCCGGGGATAGGACCAAGGCGGCCGGCGGGGGGGAATCCCGGCTGCACCCCAGACAAGGGTGGGAGCCGAACTCGCCCTCCCCCGCACCCTTTGGCAACCTCCCAGGAGTCAGGTTATCCAGCCCCGCTTTGAGAACCTCTTGTGAAAGGCTGGCGCCCATCTCCAGGCAACATCATTTAGGCCCATAGGTGCCAAGGAACGACCAGAGGTTCTCGAGTCCAGCCTCGTGGTTTGAGGAAAGCGAGGCCCAGCAAGGTTAAGAAACTAGCCCGAGGTCACACAGTCAGTAAAAGGCAGAGCTGAGATTCCAACCCAGGTCCTTTGATTTCAAATCCCATGAGTCTTTCCCACTGGTCCGCCACAAAGGCAGGCTGCAGTCTTTTTGTCCGCCCTTGTCACCTTAACTCTGTCACTTTGTGACGTTTTTAATATTTTTCTCTCTCTTAGGACCGTGGTGGTAACTGGGAGTGGGAACACTGAATAAAAGAATAGTAATTGTTACTCACCATGTCTAAAAGTAAAAAGTCTGGTTCATTGCCTCCTGTCCAGCCCTCAACTTCTGGGAAAGAAGCTATGGACTTGAAGGCCACCAACCAAAAGGAGATAGGTAAAAGCTCACCAAGGAAGCACAATTCTGTCCAGAGGCGGAAAACGTTCCTCATTCACTTCCCCCATTTGGGCTGGCTACATATCTAATACTTACATAACTGTTTTCTAATAACACTTTTAAATAAGGGTAAAAGAGTGATTCTTTTAATACATCAAAACACCTACTTTCACCTTGTCTCTTGACATTCATATAGCAGGTTTGGCTATGTATCTGTTTTATTGCCAAGCCCTGTTTTATGTTGTTCTGAATTAATCCTCTTTTAAACAGCCTATAGGTTAGGTTATATGAAAAATTCAATTCAATAAATATTTATTAAGCACCTACTATGTGCCAATCACAGAACAGGAGAAGGATAATATAGTCTTGGGACTATATTATATATATATATATTCCTAAGCTAGAGGAAGTTAGTGTCAATCTAGGAGATAGTAAATGTATATACTCTAGATATGTATAGATTTCTAAGGAATCTTGGGCTTTTTTGGGGGGGGTGAAGGAGCTAAAGAGGGATCCGTGATTTCATTAGAATTGGAATCACTCAATGAGGAATCACTCTCTACCAAGGCAGATAGGTGCATGCTCTGCATATTCTTACATGGCTGGTTGTGGCACTAAGAAGTTATGTTTGAGATGGTATGTTAAGTCCAGATAGGGGAAGAAAGCCAGCAAACAACTACGTATATACAAGTTACAATTTACTTGGAGAGATCATCTCTCAGTAAAGGCACTAGCAGGGGAAAGAGTAGTGCCTGGAAAAGTCATACATCAGGGCCATACATCCAGTGTTGGTCAGAGGTACAGCTTGAACTCAGATCTTCCTCATTCCAGGGCTGCCTCTCTAAAGCCTTGCTTATTTTTCTGTTTTCTATTTTTTTCTATTTATCTTTTTCCAAATGTTGTTATTTTCTTTTGTGTAATGCTATAATTCTTAAATAAATAAAAACCTAAACTATAGATAAGAAGTAAGGAGACTTTTCCTACTTCCAGATGCCAAAAGCTTGCTCATACTACCATTCCTTACTGTTCTGGATGGATATTGTACCACAGCATACATTTTCCCCTATTTTCACTGACAACAGAATTTGTTCCTAGCTCTCATAGAACAGATACTTGTTATTGGTGGCACCACTGGAAGATTTATCATGATCCAAATGTGATTTTTCTATATGTATAAGTTATTATTATCCATAGTTAAGTCAGTGGCTTTTTGGAGAGAAATGTACCAAGAACTAACTAGATCCAATTCAAAACATTACAACCAGACCAAATTGATAAACTATCTCTGATTGAATGGCTTTCCAAATTCAAGCTTGTTAGATGATAACAGTAAGAAATTTATGTCATTGGATACAGGCTTGTTTACTAAGAAAAAGAAGTGAGGAAGGGGAGGTCATAGATTGCCCTGTTGCTTTGCCGATTGACATCATGGGATCATAGATTGAGAATAGGAAGGGAACTTAGAGGCCTTTTAGTCCAACCCTCCCCCCACCCACCACTTTCCAGATGAGGAAAATGAGGACCAGGAAGGTCATATAGGTAGTAAAAGTCAGAATCATGATTTGAACTCAAGTCCTCTGATTCCTAAGACAATTAGTGTTCTTTCTACTATGTTATCCTGCTCCTTGCCCAAGGTCACAAAGGCAGAATCAGTGTTTGAGCTCGAGGCCTCTTACATGGGCCATAGCCATATGGTCTGGTATTTCCTGATTCTGTGAAATAAACTGACACGGAGCTGTAAAAACATCTAATCTATAGCCAAACTGATTTACTCACTTCTCCCATGCCCTTCGTGTACTACCTTGTCTATTAACTTTCCCTGCAACTGCTAACTGGGAGTATCCCCCAAGGCTGTGTCCTAGGCCCTCCTCTCTTCCATAACTCTCCTGTTTCACTTTGTGATCTCATCAGCTTGCATGGTTTCTATTATTGTCTCTAAATGGATAACTCTCTAATCTACTAGTCCAGTCCTAATTTCTCTCCTGACCATCAATATGGCCTCTGCTGCTGCTCATTTCCAGCTGGATGTCCCATAGACATCTTAAACTGTGTCCAAACCTTATCTTTTCTCCCAAATCCTTCACTCTTCCTAACTTCCAAGTCTTTATCTTGGACTTCCTACTCTCTACTTGGGTGCTTAATAAATGCTTGTTGACTGATGGTTGACGGATGGTTGACCAACCATCTATCTCCCTTGGTGATCTTACAAGAGTTCAATTGTTATCTCTTTGCAAATGATTCCTAGATCTAACACATACAGTCCTAACATCTCCTGAGCTCTCACATCACCACCATCTTGAACTAGATGTCCCGTAGATATCCCAAACTCATCGTGTCCAAAGCAAATTCATTACCTTTCACCCCAAACCTTCCCAGCTTCCAAACTTTCCTATTATGGTTGAGGGTACCACTATCCTTCCAAACACCTAGATCCACAACTTAGGTGACATCCTTGATTCCTCGGTTGTACTCACCCAGCTTCTGACATTGGGTCTTTTTAGAAAAATGTATTTGTAGTTAACTCTTTGGTTACAGTGTGGACAAGTCCTGTCATTCATTTCTACCTTGGTGTCATCTCTTATATGTATGTCCCTTTCTTGACCCTCCTGCGGCCTCCATCCTCTTGGCCTCATCTCCTTAATCTTAGATGACTACAATCACCTTTTAGTTATTCTCTTCATTTTAGTTCATCCTTCACTCAAAGCTGCCAAAGTGATCTTCCTAAAATTCAGGCCTGACTATCTTGTTCCATAGTCAGTAAACTCCAATGGATCCCTTTACCTCCAGGATCATATAGAATCCTGTTTGGTTTTTAAAGCCTTTCACAACCTGGTCTCTTCCTACCTTTATAGCCTTCTAACACCTTATTGCCTTCCGTGTATTCTGTGATCCCATGACTGTCATCTCTTTGCTGTTCCTTGAAGAAGAAACTCAGTTTCCGGACTCCTGGCATTTTCCTCAGCTGTCCCCCATGGCTGAAATGCTTTTCCTCCTCACTTCCACCTCCTGCCTTCTCTTCCTTCATTCAACTTTCAGCTCAGATTTCACTTTCTGCAAGAGACCTTTCCCCTGGTAGTGCCTTCACGCAGGGATTGTATCTTGTGTGTATATAGTAATTTGCATGTCATCTCCCTATTTGATTGTGAGCACCTTGAGGTCAGGGACCATAGTGCTTATGCTTAGCTCACTGTTTGGTGCTTAGTAAATACTTAGAGCTTATTGACTGACATTCTTGGGATATATTCCTAGCTAAGGAAATCTTCATGTATGGACATTTTATTCACTTTATATTCACAATTCCAAATTGCTTTCCAGAATAATGGTGCCAATTCACCGCTTCACCAACTATCTCTTAATTGCCAAATTGGATGGCTTTTTTTCAATTCTCATCTATCTTTTATTATCTGCCCTACATTTAACACTGTTGACTTCTCTTTCCTGAATATTCTCTCTCCTCTTGGTTTTCATGACACTACTGTCCTGGTTCTTTTACCTGTCTGACTGTCTACTTTTTCTCAGTGTCCTTTGCTGGTTCACTATCCATATCATGTCCCCATTTAATGTGAATGTTCTCCTGGGCCTTTTTCTTAGTCTATACTCTCTTGTAGCCCAAACAGGTGCATTGGGTTTAATTATGATCTTTGATGATTCACACTCATTTCTATATATGCAGCCCTATTATCTCCCCTGGGAAGTCCCACGTTACCAGTTGACTATTGGACATTTCATTTTAATAGATGAGAAAGATGAGCCTCACAGGCTTACACAGCTATAAGTAGCAGAATTAGGACCAAAAACAGAGACTTTTTTTAACTAATGATCCATTTGCTTTTCTGTGCGCCAGGTTCTTTTGCATACTTATTATGTTATTTTCAACTGTCTGTCTAGAAGTAGTGATTCTGTCTGTGAAGTCATGAGCAGCATTCATTTTAGAGAACTCATTTCAGTGGTGGTTTTGCAGTCAAGTGGCTTTTTAAGATGTTTCCACCAACTAGTGATAAGATGTTCTTCCCATCTTTTTTTTAAATAAAATTTTTTTTTTACCGTATCTTTTTTTTTACATTGTCTAAGTTTTCCCCTATGTTCTTTCCTCCCAAAGAGCCATCTCATGTAACAAATAGTTTTTTTAAAAAGAAAGATGAAAAAAAATCTTCAATGTAAATAATCAATGTATTGAAAAAAAATCTGACAGCAGTATGCAACATTCAACACCTTCGGATCCTTCATCTCTGCCCAGTATTTTGGTTCCACTTTTGTAAAAAGATGAGCATTTTGTTTTCCCCTGGGGACGATACCAGCAGCTTTTCTCTCCAACTACTTTCTAGCGGTCTCTGCAGTGGATGAGAAATCCAGCGCGTTGGTCTGCTCCCAGCAAACCCAGCTGCAGTGTGATTTCATCCCGGAGGAAATTATTCTGTCTCTGACCAATGCAGCCTATGCCGGCGGTTGCCCTGAACCCTTACTACCTCCCAAGAAAGTCAAAACTATCAAAGAAACGAAGGTATGTGAGCATGGGAGCATGTCAGCTTCTGACATGGGGCCGGCTTAGAAAAATGTGTTTGTGGATAACTCTTTAGGTAGAAATCTATGAACCTACCATAAAAGGTAGAGGCCCCTAGGCGAATGAATGAATGAAATTTGCCCTCTGTCATTCTCATTAACCTGTTTTAATGTGAATTGACTGAAATGACTCATTTCCGGGTTTTTGCCCCTTTATGTAATAATTCCTAGATCACCGTGATCTGTGTTCAACCCTGTGGGATCACCAGTAGCTAGAAATCCTCATATTTGCCGTTTCCCCACTGCCCCGTACTCTTTCATTCAATATAGTGAACAATGATATAATGTAACCTGTTTGCTCTGGATTTGAGCTAAGGAGCTGTGGCTGGTTTTCGTGTGACACGAGCGCCCTCTGCTGAGCTGCGGTCTGTGTCTGCTTCTCCTTAGCCCGGCATGCGCTCGACGAACGGTGTTTGGCATCACCCAGGACGGCGGAACAAGTTCCGATACCTGACGGATCACCCCATCTCGTTCACGGGAGCTGGAAGGTAAAGGGCGAGTGAATGAGGGAACGGGAAGGATGGAGAAGAGACTTATTTTTGCTAGACCTGTGATTGCATTGGCCTGGGGAGCCCCCAGGAAGGAACTTTCTCTACCAGTGCAGACCAACGCTTTCTCTGCATCTTACTGTTCATCTAGGGCTCTGATAATTGGATGAGTGTGTGGAACCAGCCGGCATGTGTCTGAGAGGGGCCTTGAACCCAAAACTTCTCGACTTCTATCCAATATGCCACACTATGTGTCTCTGGAAGAGACTTAGTGTGTGTCATTTTTCTTATTCTTTTCCACACCCATAGACTAGATGCTCAATTAATAATCATAGCTAGCATTCATATAGTTCCTACTATGTGCCAGGTACGGTGCTTGGCACTTTGCAAATATTACCTCATTTGATTCTCACAACAACCCTGGGAGGTAGTTGCTCTTATGATCCCCATTTTACCCAGAATCTATTTTAGAGCCTTTTCTCGGTACTAGATCTGATATTTGGTCCCATCTTGTCCAAAGGCAGTGTATAAGAAGAGGGGAGGAGTTCACTAGTTATTTCTAGAATCTATTCAATCTTTTGTTTTCCTCAAAGTGCACTCTAGTATCTATTAGTCTTAATTCAATTCAGCAGAGATTTCCTAGACCCTATTTTAAAAATAACAACAATACCACCTTATGTTTCCATGGTGATCTATGGTTTTCAAAGCTTTTATATTTGGCTCTCACAAGAACACACTGCAGTCAACAAGGCTGAGTCCACTTTAATTATCCATAATTTACAGATGAGGGAACAGAGCCTCAGAGAGACTAGGTGACTTGTTCGTGTCTAGGTACACACTGTGTTAGACTCTTTTCTTCAGGGGTGGACCAAAGTTCAAGGGTTTGTAGAGTTCCATATAATTGAGATTTTTTTCCCTGCATTTGTGTGGCTGTGGGCTTACAGAGAAGGTCATAGTCATAGTAATCTTTCTAATTCCACTGCAGGAAAGTACCAAGAATTTTTATACTTCTTGATATATAGTTGTTCTGGGGATATTTTGGGGTGGTGACAAAGGGCTTACATGCTGATTTTCCTTTCTAGGTGCTAACATTATTCTTAAGTTCATTATCCTACCGAACATTCCAAGTTTTTTCAGGACTTGGGTCTCCTGTGATCATTCAAAAGTTTTTTGCTTTCTGACTGTGGCTTACAACATGGTCACTGGGTCATTTTTTAAATTACATCCCAGTTGATTTATTCTATAGTTGTCGCCTAACTGAATTTGCCATTATAGATGGTCTTCGAGGCATTTATTTGACAAAAGTTCTCACTTTCTTTTGGGGGATATAAATGTACGTAAGCAGTAGTCCTGTGAAGTATGTGTGAAGCTATTTGAACAACCAGGTGTAAAGAGCTCTGATTAATATCAACCTGGAATAGACAGTCTTTAGTGGTTGGTTATTTCCTTGGCCCTGTTTTTGACTCTTCAGGAACACAGTTAGTGGTCACTATAGGCCACCATTGCTTATCATGTAGGTGTAATTATGCTGGATCCAGTCTTGTAGATTATGAGGAGGCAGTAGACACATTTTCCTTAAATTTCTGTAAAATATTTGACAAAGTCTTCTACACTATCCTCATTTACAAAGATGGAGGGATGTGAGTTAGGTGATTGATAGCCAAGTGGCTTCACAGTTGGCAAATGGCCAGAGCCAAGGAATAATCAGTGTTCTTTGGGGTACTTTACGCTGGGCAAAAGATAGCTAACATTTTGGATATGTGGCCTGCAGATTATCAACTCTACCTATGCAGCCCTAACCTCTCTGCTGACCTCTGATCTCAAATCTCTGATTACCTTTCAGATATCCTCAACTGGATGTCCAGTAGAGATCTTACCCAACATGTCCAAAACCATACTCATTATTTTCCCCCTTAAACCCTCCCACTCTCCTACTTTCCATATTACTTTAGAGGGCAACACCATCCTCCCAGGCCTTCAGGCTCACAACCTAGGAGTCATCCTGGATTCCTCACTGTCTTTCTCTTTTTTTAAATTAACTAATTTATTTTTAGTTTTCAACAATCACTTCCATAAGCTTTTGAGTTTTAAATTTTCTCCTCCTCCCTTTTCGCTTCCCTCGCCGAGACGGCGTGCAGTCTGATATGTATATATACATTCCTTTTAAACATATTTAAACATATATACATTCCTTTAAAATGTATTTTAAACATATTTTAACATTAGTCATGTTGTAAAGAAGAATTAGAACCAATAGGAGGAACCACAAGAAAGAGGAAACAAAACAAAACAGAAGAAAAAAAAAACCAAAAGAACAAATAGTATGCTTTGATCAGTATTCATACTCCATAATTCTTTCTCTGGATGTGGCTGACGTTTTCTATCGTGAGACTTTTGGAGATGTCTTAGATCTTTGCATTGCTCAGAAGGGTTAAGTCTATCTTAGTCAGTCATCGAACAATGTGGCTGTTACCGTGTACAATGTTCTTCTCCTGGTTCTGCTTACTTCACTTGGGATCAATTCATGTAAGTCTTTCCAGGTTTTTCTGAAGTCTGCCTGTTCATCATTTCTTATAGCACAATAGTATTCTATTGCATTCATATACCACAACTTGTTCAGCCATTCCCCAATTGATGGGCATCCCCTCAATTTCCAATTCTTTGCCACCACACAAAGAGCTGCTATAAATATTTTTGAACATGCCTCACTGTCTTTTATCCCCCATATCCAAACTGTTGCCAAGGCCTTTCGAATTCAACTCTGCGACATTTCTCACATACTCCCCCTTCTCTTTTCTGACACTTCCCCCACTCTGGTGCACTCTCACTACCTCAATTCTGGATTAGTACAATAGGCTGCTGGTGGGTCTACCTGCTTCAAGTCTCTCCCCACTCCAATTCATCCTTCGTTCAGCCACCAAAGTGATTTTCCTGAAGTGCAGGTTTAACCATGTCACCCCCCCAAACTCAGTAAACTCCAATGACTCCCTCTCACTTTCATGATTAAATACAAAAATGCTCTGTTTGGTGTTCCAAACCTTTCATAACCTAATCCCCTTCTTTTTACACTTTGCTCTTACTCACTTCTATAGGAAGCCTTTCCCAACCCTTCTTATTTCTACTGCCTTCCCTTTCTTAATTATTTCCTATTTATCCTGAATATGGCTTGTTTGTATGTAGTTGTTTGCTTGTTGTCTCCCCATTAGATTGTGAGCTTCTTGAGGGCAGAGACTGTCTTTTGCCTCTTTTTGTATCCCCTGCACATAGAACGGTGCCTGGCACATAATAGGCAACTAATAAATGTTAATTGACTGACCGACAGTAGGTGGTTCTTTGGAAAACAAAGCTGGTTGGCTGGTACTCACCCTCTTTTTATTTCTTCTGCCTTCCAAATCATGCTTGTCTCTGATCCCTCCTCTTTGGATTTGGGCAAGGCCTTCCCTTTGGCCACCACTTTTTCTCCCTTTCATCTCCCTCCTTTAGCAGGAGGCTCTTGTATTTGGGGGAGGGGGGTGGAACAGGTGTGTTCTGTTTTTTAGTTCCCCCTACTACTAGTACCTGCTGTCATTCGCTGCATGATGTCCTGTGTGTATGAGTTTACTGCATGTTATTTTCATTATTAGAATGTGAGCATCTTGAGGGCAAAGACTTTTTTTTTGCCTTTCTTTGTATTCCAAGTGCTCGCCATAGAAAGCGCTCAATAAATGCTTGTTGCCTGATGGACTGCAACATGTTGTGACTAGTTGAAAGAACTGGGGGTGCTTAGCCTATATAAGAGAAGACTTAGAATATCATAGAAGTCTTCGAGTATTAGAAAGACAGTTATGTGGAAACTGTGTGCCCCAGAGGCAAACCTGGGATCAATGGGTAGAAGTTTCAGATTTAGATTTAGTCTTGATATAGGGCCACCTACCAGTTGTGTGACCTGGGCAAGTTGCATAACTTTGTTTGCCTCAGTTTCTTCATCTTTAAAATGAGCTGGAGAAGGAAATGGCAAATCACTCCAGTTATCTTTGCCAAGAAAACCCCAGACAGGGTCTCGAAGAGTCAGACGTGACTGAAACGACTGAGCAATACAAAGGCAACCCTCCTTGGAGCTGTTCAAAAGTTGGCATACACTGCCCTTAGGAAGTAGTGAATATGCTATCACTGGAGACCTCCAAGGAAAGCTCGATTAGGACTTGTTTGAGATTCAGTAGAGGGGCCACTTGCTCAGTCCTAGGTTCCACTAGGTGATCCCTGGGGTTCTTTCCAATTCTGAGATTCTATGATCTGGAAATATTTGAAAAAAGCTACCATCTTGAAATTAAGGCTTAAACAAGATAAAGTTTAAATTACATTATAATAGTAGTTTGGCAGAGTGAGAAAGTATGAGATCTGAAAGCAGGACATCGTGACCTTCCCTTTGGCTCTGCCACATGTGATATGGGCAAGTTGTTTCATTTCTCTGGGTCTCCATTTCCTCATCTGTAAAATGGGAATAATAAATAGTACACTTCACAGTGGTGGAGTGAGGAAGATTCCTGACTAAATTTCCATGTAAATATGAACTCATTATGCCTAAAATATCTTACTTTTTTCCATTAGTAGTAGGGTTCAAGTTTATTGTTTCTCCACTCTTGATTAATACTGCTATCTTTCAGAGCTAAGGAAGAGATAATTTTGCATCTATTTTCAAGTAAAATAACTTACTTTAGTATTATATCCTTTTAACTTCAGATCATCTAATTATATCTGTATGCCCATCCATGTGATAGAATGACAGCTATGTCTTCTGTGCTAGAAATGGTTGCAGAAGGAAGGCCTACTCAGTACACTCAATGAAAGACCCTGGGGCCCTCCAAATGTCATAAAGTATCTGGTTTTTATTAGTATGCCCTCAGGATGTGATTTTAATTAATAGTAATTACCAGTTATATGGCTCTTGAAGTGCATTGCAAGAATAATTGTGTTCATGAATGCTGCAATAAACTAATATATATGTGTGTGTGTGTGTATAT